TTTAGAAAAAGATGTGTGTAAAAATAACTAGTCCAGTCAACTAGTCTGAATATATTCTACAATATCTGAAATTTCCAAATATGTTTTAGTTTTCACAAAAATTTTGATTTTTAATAACGAATGGTAATTAAGTACTCGTCATTCACAGCCAATTAATTCGTGAAAGGGATCTTTCAATGCGTGTCTCGCGATTAGAAATCAGACGGCTGAATGATGTCCGTATGCGAGAGGTCCGATGCATGTTGTCCCACGTGGCGCGCCGTGAGGACGATTTTCGTGAATCGAGCTACGTACAGACAGGTACCGACAACCAGCATCTGAGGATGTGGCAATTATGTCTGGTCTCCTTGCCACAGATGGACGGGACCGCAGCCACGGAACGCCCCTTGCGTTACACATATGTTACAAGTTCCCTTGTGTCCCTCTTCCCTTTCCTCCTGGATCCCATTCCACTCCTCTGTCTCTTTCCCCTCGCCGCACGGTTCTTCCTGACCGAATTAATGTTCGTACGATCAGCACGAAGGAAGATCCTGTGGGAACTACGTGGCATAGCTTTCTCGACGTTGGTCCCGATCGACGGGAACGGTTGGTGAACGAAGAGGCAAGAACTGAACAAGGTTGATCAATTTGAACGAACTTGGCCGTCGATTGGTTAATGGTGAACCACCAACCAATGAACAAAAAGCCCCTGTACGTTAGGATTCAGAAGGTTAGAAGTTCCTTTTCGTTCATTTTTGTCCAACTAAACCGTAGGATTAAGAATTTTAGGAGTTCCAAAAACATATTTGATTAAAAACTTTGATACAAGAAATTATTTAGCGAAAAGTATTCGAAGAGTAGGGAAGACGATTCGAGGAGATGCTACCCCGGACTACTTGACGGAATATTGCCGGATAATTGTCACGCGAAGTTACGGAAATTACTACCGCGAAGTGATAAATGACTCCGCAACCAGCAGCTTTGTGCATCACGCAGAACGCGTCGCGGGCCCCCAAGAAAAAAGGGGGAGCAGCGGTCTCGAACGAGAAAAATAAGAGAAATATTACGGGGTACCCTGTGCAAGGCGAACCACAAAATTACCGTCGAAATACGAATCGGACAATTACAAATATTCCCCGAAATAAACGCGCGATCATGCGGCTTTCAGAACCCGATGGTGGGGAACGTGGGTCGTCGGTGTGAAATCGTCGCGTTCCGTTCCAGTTTCGCTTGGGTTTGCGTGCCGTCAGACCGTCGTTTGGATTAACGGTGATCCCTAAAGGACAGCGGCGGTGTAACCCCGTAGCCGTGAACCTTCTCGTGTAGCGCGTTGACAATAGAACATCCACGGTCGTCTCGCGGGGGTCCTGCACGCGATGACCCGGCCGTTTCCTGAGGACGGTCGCGAGGAGGAAACACTTCTAACGGGAGCGTGGCCCCGGTTTCTTGTTCCTCCGAAGGCTTCACCCTTTGTTCGGTGCCGGTTGATGGGGCCCAATTCCCGGCTAGACGAGATCAGAATGTTAGACACGCGAAAGAAATCGTATACACACATTATGGAGAACGAAGCCGCAGAACTAATTCTCGAAACCACGAGCTGTATGGGGGCCCCGACGGTTAGCAAAGCGAACTAATCCACGCGATATTAAGGGTAAGTTAGCCGCCTCTCGACAGGACACTCGAGTGGCCCAACACACCCCCCAAGGGGGGGGGGGGGAAGACGATCGTGAAAAGGGATGGAAACACATTCGGTCGCGTGTGCGTTTACGAACGGCATGGCCCCCCGAGATTACAGGCCGGCTCGGGGCTGACTTCGATGTAAATCAATCCGCAACGGAACATCCCCGAGGCTTTCGGCTAAACCGTTTGGATCTACGGTGAAAGGTGAACGACAGGAACGCGCGCGAGACGTTAGACAGACGGTCCGAGACTACGAATTATTTTTATTGCTCCGTGTCGGTCGTGTAATTCGAGCTGCAGTAAGTTTTAAGTAAATTTGTATTAATTATTGTTCTTTCAAATAGTTCAACAGATAATTTATCGGTGTAAAGTAAGGAAATCCTCCAATGAGTGTTGGAAGCGTCATTGGCACTGAACATTAAATATTTAAATTGGATTCAGAATTACAAGCATCTTTAATGTCAGTGTTCCACCTTGACAGTGCCGAGGAGCCTTCGAATACTCAGCAAGGATTTACTGTAATGCGTTTAAAAGTTATACCGATGTGGAATAAAATTATTTGCCGCAATTACGTGCTAGATAAATAAGGACAAGGAGCACGATCAGCCACAAAATGGCAATCAGTGTGCATTTATTGAAAATTACTCCTCGCGTGTCCGATTGCTAGAAAAATGAGAAGGACAAGGGTGAAAACGGCGCGCGGATGCTCACGATTAGGGCTAACCGAAATGGCGCTTGGCCTAATGAGTTGAAACACTTTAAGGCTTGTGATATCTTCGCACTAGCCTGCGGGCACTGGTAAAAAATTCGCTGGAGAACAGGATCTCCCAGCTGGACGGTCACTGAAAATAAGAAAACACTAATTTTTGTATTTGAGCGTGGCTGGAAAGTTCGACGGAAAAATGTTTCGAACATTGTACCACGGTAAAGTGGACAAACCCTGATGATTTGATAATTTTCTTACCGGTGACAGGCTTATTTCACGCGCGAGTGACCGTCGGAATGAGCAATCAGTGAAATGGAACAACAGAAACCAGGAGAAACACGCCCGTTTAACATCCTCGGGCCCAAACCCATCCAATTTTCCAGCCTCTAATTCGTACGATGGTCAGCGAATTTCATTACATGCCCCGAAGTCTTCCTCCGGGGTTAAAGAAGAGGGACGAAGGGAATAGATTCTGGAAGCAGGGACTGCTTTCGGTTCCCGTGTTTGCTGGCTTAATTAACGGCGTTTAGCGTTCATATGATCATCGTGTTTATAACGCTGGGTCACTTCAAAGCCGCGGGTTCCTTTTGAACAGAGTACATTCTACTTGGTCATTAATTCCGGCGTTCGATCGCGAGTTTCCAGCTGAAATTTACATCGGTAAAACTAGTTGAGTTTCGCTTCCTGTCGAAGTATTGTCCGAGCACGGAAATTACGGGATTTTTATAAAAATAAATATATCTAATAGGCGTAATAAAACCGATCGAGGATCGTTAACTTGATTGCCACCACGATCTATGGGGACCTAGAACTGCGAAAATTGACGTCGTGGCACGTCGCCCTACGGAATTCGGCGGGCTAGGATGAAAAGAGAGACCGCCGCTTTAGGCGGTCCCTTGTCTCCGGGGAAGGCCATCGGCATATGCGGCTCGCGTGCACCGATGCAACCGTAGGATCGCAGTAACAGGTGCAGATGCAGAGAAAGCGATCGTTAGCCCGACAGCCCCCGGGTGCATGTGCGCCTATTATGATTTCTTTCGTAATTAGTCCTCCCTTCCCTCCGTCGTCTTTCGTACGCGTATTCGGTTCTGTACCTATTATTTATTTTCGTCGAACGCATGCACAGCTCGGGGGAACATGTGCCGACCTTTGTCATTCACGGTTCTTCCGCGTCTTCGGGCACGGTGACGTTAATGACGACGACCTTGAACTTCGTCGAGTCGTTGTTACCTCTTCGTTCAGCATGGGTACCGAGATATTCCATATAGTAAACGTGATATCCGCTTTTTATATACTGTTTATCACGATCGAACGATCGACATTAGAGCGTTTTCCTATTTTGATAAAGCTAATATACTACTGGCATCTACTTTTCTTGTCGTTGGTAGCCAAATCACCAAAACACAGATGACTCTTCAATGGTTCTGGGTCCACTGGTAGCCACCCTCGACTGGATAGATCCAAGACACCGAGAGGTGGCTATACATATCCCTTGGAAAGCGTCTTGCCAAGGGACTTCACCAAGGGTTGGCTGTTTGCATCTCTCGACAAATAAGGGGAAGTCGTTATCCCCTGGATGGGAGGAGTAATTAACTGCTTCTACCTCCTTTCTGTGCGCTCCACCTCAGCCAGCATCCTTCCTTTCCGGCTTCGGCTTCTACTCGAAGGAGCAGACTTAAGGAGGCCCGCTTAGGCTTTCACGGGGTCGTGTCTTCATTATTCACGCTAATCTGCTTTTGCCTCGCGCTCCTCACCGCCTCGATCTCTCACCCCCTTGTGCACCCTACAATCGGCGAACTCTATCGGTTAGTTTATAATTTACCTAAAGTTATCCGGGGAAACGATTTCTTTTACGGTACATTTCGCGGTCTTCTTTGCAAGAAAAAAGAAACGGGATTCGGTGACAGGAAGACATAGTAAGTGATCCAAATGAGGATGTTACAAAATTGCGATCCTTCAACATATAGAGCGGTAAAGAAAAAGTTTCATTACTTATAGGGATAGACAGTACTCGGTGAATCGAATGAAAATAATTTCTCTTGCCAAATCTAATAATTAGATGTATCCTAGACGATGATTTCATCAACACATCTATGTCCACCGAAGGTTTAATTGCACATATCTTTCACAGTTCAACGAGTATTATCAACCATGTAACTTTGTAACTTTTCGTTTAATACCTCGATGTAGCGAAGTTGTTCCATCACGGCCACACCGCGATCCGAATCTATAAATTTCAATGTAATCTTTTAAAAAGAGGATCGACGTTTATATTCGTAAGATAGAGACCCGAGTTAGGAACGCGTACTTCCAATATTCGTTGCGGACCACCATCGGTAGGAACCCCGCGGAGCTCGCCAAATTATGATGAATTGTTTTCTCTGTTAACTGGCAACGCCGACAAACGTGGCTCCGTAACACCCCCGACCGAGATAATCTTTCACCAATTCCGAGTCGCTGATTGATCGTCGCTGGTCCATCGGACGATTCGTGCGAACGAATCACCGTGATAGAACACCCCCGAAACGGCTTTTTCCTCTTTTACGGCCGACAGAGGCAGAAAGTTTCGAACTTCGACGAATACGTAAAGGTGACCGACCAAACGAAATAAAACGTTCCGAAGCTTTTTCTGTTCTACAAAATAACATTTAAATTGGAGAGTCGTTTACAAGAATAGTTACTAAACTATGTCCATTGACACACTATTTGTGTTTGTATATATTACTACGCCACAAACACGTTTCGATTCTCCCTGCTTGATAGCTACAATTCAGAGACGAAGTATGCGTATTAAAAAATATACATGCGTTGCATTACCGTTTCTGACGGTACAAAATCTCGTCGCAATCCTTACTCGTGTTCAATGTTATTTTTCCTTAATTTTGCATTACATAGCACCGGAGACATTTACAAACGGATTCAATGGGTAGTATTGTGATCTATACAATGTCGTCATATAAACACGTAAGTGGTACTAGAGACTTGCAGAATGCCTATAATAATGTTGTTGCGATTATTTGATACTGAAATAAGCAAGCGTTATTGGTCGCTAACTCATGTGAGTGTTCACGAGGAGGTAAAGAGCCAAAAAAAGGCGATCAATGACCCTTCTGGTTTAATGAAATCTGAATAAACGTCGGGGTATTAAAAACACACAAGGAAAATGCTCTCCTCGTCTTGTGAAACAAACGTAATGAGTCGCGCGTAGCAATAAACGAATGCGGTTCCAGCTTATCGGGTAATTGTTTTACATATAACTGAACGAAACATGTGTAAAGCAACAAGCTTAGATGCGTAGAAGGAAGCGTTTCCAATTACTTGCGTACAATGCAAGGTGAAGGAACGTATCTGTGTATTACAAAAATGGATATTTCGAACTGAAATCTGAATACTATGAAATATTATTTATATATATATGTATGTATATATATATATATATTCTTGTTATGCAACGCTTTTAGGGTTTTTGCCCCACCATCTATTTTTTCATACACCATTTTTAGCATTAGAATGCATCTGTTACGATATAAATGCCACAACTTCAGTTTACAATCCTCATTCGAGTCTATCTCTTTATTGCTGTAAGTTTAGTAAGATGTTTTGACCTGGGGGTAAATAGGCTACTTGGCGGGATTTAGACAGATTGTGGGCAATATCCTCCGCGGCTTCGATTCTTCTGAGTTCAACTATACCATCACCAGCTTCACCGAGAGACTTCGCGATTAGACTGGCCGCCTGTGCATCACCCTCTGCAGTAATGATCGCTGCTTTTTTTTGTTGTTCAGCCTTTTCCACCAAGAAACGCGCCTTCTCTGCTTCTTGTTGGGCTACTTGTTTCAATTCTACAGCCTGTGTGAACTCTTTTCCAAAGGTTAAATGTGTCTGAAACAGAAACAATGTACCCAAAATTAATTCTACATACTAAATTAACATACGAATAGGAAATAGATTAAGATATACACTTACAAGGGAAATATCATCTAGGATTAGACCAAACTGAGAGGCTCTTTCTGTTAAATCTTCACTGACTTTCTGAGACACAAGCTCTCTTTGCGTAATCAATTCTCCTGCATCAAATTGAGCAACCACTGCTTTCAATACTTCAGTAGTAATAGATGGAAGTACTCTTTCATCATAGTCTACACCAAGAATGGTGTAGATCTTTGGCAGGGATTCTGGCACTGGTCTAAAGAGGATACGAAGTGTGATGTTTACATTTTGTAGGTCTTTGCTTCCAGTTATAACAGGAACATTTCTTGGCCTAGATCGAATATCAAATATGATAGGTTTCTGTACCCAGGGAATAAAGAAGTGTGTTCCTTCTCCAACAACCAGTTTCTTTATGCCAGCAAATCTATCAAAAATAACAGCTCTATGACCTCCATCCACTGAAACAGGAAGTACACAAATTTATTAAAATAAAATGATTTGTATCTTATACTATACATGTCAGAAATTACTGGGAACTGACCATTGTAAAGGGCAGAATTAACAACAGTTCCAACAACGGCTAGGCCCAAGCCAAATTGCCCAATTCTATTGAAAACCTGTGCCATTTTCTAATAGTGTACCTGAAAAATTGGAAAAAAAATACAATGGTAAAGCATGATCAACTAATTCTGATGTAATCCGACAGACTGTTTAGCTGCGGCCAAACAATTATAACCTAAAAACTCTAGAGAATCACGAATCGTGTTCCGAGTAAAGTAATTACAAAGGAAGCTTAATATATGCTGGAACGAAAACATAGAATTCAAACAAAATATAGGATTGGAATCAAATCAAAAAACTGTAGCATATAAAAATACTTTAAGCAACCGGTCCCCGAAAGGTTTTGGTGCTATGGATTTCACAATTAAGACGAATTTTCTATGTACATAACGATTCGGATACTGTCGAAATGAAGAATAACCAGTGATTATTATATTACCGTAATTAATCCTTACGTAATAAATTCTATCTTCGAAATTGAAATTATCACTTTTCTTCTCGCGTGGTGTACAGACGTCGATAAAAGGAAGATGGAGTCTACACCCAACTCATGGAGGAACTGATCTGCAGCGCCTCTTAGTGATTGCTGTTCACGAGGCAAATTTAAAAGTGTTATTTAAAACTTGGTATGCACAATGGATGGTCACAATTTAAGTCTATTCATAGATAGACTAAAATTAAAAATAATTATTATCATTACGATGTGATGATGAATATGAATATAACAATGGATATCGAATTACGATTTAAGTTTAACATTTACTGAATTTTACTAATTATATTCTATGTGTAGGTACTGTATAATCAAAAATATTTTCCCAACCAGTTATTTCATTGAAGGAAGACACTGATCAACATTTAAAGCCATAAAGCGTCTACCACTACGCTTTCGACTTGCGACATTTTTCCTAAGTTTCGTTTGATCGAATTGTCTTAAATATAACTGCATAAATATTGTACAATCATATACTAATTATAGTTGTCTGGTTCAACAGGTTACTACAGAAGCTAACTACAGCCTACGTCTTTTAAACTTGGGCTGTAGTAGTATCTGCAGAAACTGCCATGGTTGCTGGGGTTATTGTCTAATTTCTTCACGGGAACACGTATATGTGCTCGCACGTATATCATGCGCGTTCGGCACAGTGCGCTAATACGGAGGTCAACGAACGATATATCACTGTAACACTTAAAAAAGTTTTAAAGTTCCATTTATATCATTGTCCTGTGGAAATATTCATGCTTCCAGTAGCATTCATATTCCACTCAATGAATTTACAGAATAAGGAAAAGGAATCTAAAGTAATTTTCAGTAGTTCTATACATCTTTATCTCGAATAATTTTCTAAAACATTCAAAGTACTAGACATTTTTACATTTTGAATCTCATATCGATTTCTAAAATAATCCTAGTTCGATATATTAATAGAACGTAGTTTCATGAGATATATTCGAAGTTCGCAGCCATTCGCTCCATATTGTCTTCAGTTTACAGTACTTTACCGATGACAATACCGATTCCCCCACGAGGAGGTTGCTGCGAGTGGAGGCCCAAGGCAAGTAGATGGAATCACAAGTTCTACATCTACCCACCTTTCACAATAAACCTTATAAATAACTTAAATCTTAACTATATAATACTACCGATACTAAAATCCCTCGGCGGATGACTTCTTTCTTGAGCCTAAACCTATAAAAAACTAAGTTCCCTCGTCGGTTGTCTTCGTTCTTCAGCTTAGAACTAATATTATCTTAATATTCTAATT